TCTCCAAAGAGTATTCTCTTTGGTCTCACTGTGTGTGAGTGCCTAGAGTTCTGTATAAATTATCATGTCCCAGTGTATAATTTATCATGTCCCAGTGTATAATTTATCATGTGCCAGTGTATTTTAGACCTAACTTTCACCTATATGAGTAAACACAAGCCATTTGTGTCTCTGAGGTTGGCTTACCTAATTTTACATGATTTGTTCTAGGTCTGTACAAACCCCTACAAATGACAAAATATTATTCTTTCTAGTGGATGTGTTATTCTATTGAGTGGTTCTGATTTCTTTATGAAACAAATGTTTATTGAGAACTTGCTTAGTGTGACTTAGAGGAATTCTTCATATGCTGTTTCAGCTTAAGTTGTGATGGATAGCATTTGATGACTGCTATGTTAAGAGGTGTTCAGAGTCAAGAATAAGACCAAGTCATAGATAATGGGGAATCCTAGACTAAAGGAAACTAAAAGATTTCTTTACTGAATAAACATCATTATCTTTCAGAGGACACTCTAAGGTGGGGATTATGGGTATATGAAATTTCCCAAATGCAAAGGGCAATGTACCCCTTACTCTGTAGTCTAGTAACATTTATCAACATAGTAATGATCCTTACAGTGCATGAAAGCTGTTCATGAGAAGCCATATCTTGCAATTGACTGTTCTTACATTGCATGCCAGTGATACTGTTTTTCTCAGAAACAATATTATATTTGTCTTGGACTAAAACATAGATTTTTTTTCCTACTTCAAATAGATTTTATTTCCTTAAATATGATTTTTCAGTCCAAGAAGTATATTTTTAAGATTATCCTATCTACAGATCTTTAGATGAATAACTAGATAATTACCATTAATTGGCTTGTTCTGTTTAATACAACATATATTGTTCAAAATTGTCAATTGGCCGGACGCCAGTGGCTCATGCCTGTAATTGTAGCTACTCAGGAGGCTGAGATCTGAGGATCATGGTTCAAAGCCAGCCTGGTCAGAAAAGTCCGTGAGACTCTTTATCTCCAATAAACCACTCAGAAAACTGGAAGTGGCCCAGTGGCTCAAGTGGTAGAGTGCTGGCCTTGAGCTGAAGAGCTGAGAGACAGCACCCAGGCCCAGAGTTCAAGCCCCATGACTGACCAAAAAAAAAAAAAGTCAGTCGGCTACAGAAACTATTTAATTAAAGCTCAATTGCATCCTCAAGAGAAAATTCTTATCACATGGCATTAATAATTACTGTAAGTGCATATGTATAATAAATATATCTAATGGGGCTGGGAAGGTGGCTCACTGATAAGAGCGCTTGCCTTACATGCATGAGGCCCTGAGTTCGATTCCTCAGCACCACATAAGCAAAGAGAAAAAAGCCAGAAATGGTGCTGTGCCTCAAGTGGTAGAGTGCTAGCCTTGAGCTGAAGAGCTGAGGGACAGCACCCAAGCCCACACAGTTCAGGCCCCATGACTGGACCCTAAATAAATAAATAAATAAATATAAATATATCTAACATATAGATTGTAATTTATAATATCTATATGTGTAAGAAAGTCTGTTTGTAGATTTATGTTTAATAGTTACATATCTATACCTATATACACACACATATATGAGACAGCCTTTGCCTGTTATTTTTATTTTTATTGACATTATAGTCTATGCCATAAAGTGATAAAAATCATCTAATTATTTTATTATTAATTCATGTGAAGCACATGTAATTGAGAAGCAAGAGTATTTTTATTGCAGGTTAAGGACAGTATTTCAAGATGATTTTATTAAGCCATTTCTGGAGACTTTCTCAGGTAAACAAGATAAGACGTCAGAAATCAATTCGAATTCCTTTTTTTTTTTTTTTTTTTAACATTTTCAGTGCAATTAAAAAATCATACTGTGAGCCAGGTACAAGTGGCGCTCGGCTGTAATCCTAGCTACTCAGGAGGCTGAGATCTGAGGATTGCAGTGCAGTGAATAAGTTAACAGAATGCTAGACGTGGAGCTCAAGTGATTGAGTGCTAGACTTGAGGAGAAAAAAAAAAATAAGAAGGTCAGGGAGACTGCCCAGGCCCTAAGATCAAGCCCTAGGACCAGAACAGATTTTTGTTTGTTTGTTTGTTTTACAATATGGTAAACTATCTTGAAATACAGTTTTACCACATATATTAAAACTGCTATTTTTCTAAATAAAGTTAGACACAGGGTTTAAAGTTACTTTGTTATTATCTAAGGGTATTTAATGGGTGAAAAATGACTTCCTACGAAACAAATAAACTTTGATTTGTAACTGAGGAGAATGTAAAGAAACTGACACTTTAAAGTAGGTAAGTCCCTAATGACACAGTATGGATGCTCCTAATTGACTGGGATTTTGCTGAAAAAAGAAAAAAGTTCCTTCAATCTAGTCAAACATGGTGAGCTACAAGTGAACTCCTATAGTAACTACAAGTGAAACTATACTATATCCATACCAACATGAAACCTAGAACACACATAATTTATAAGAGTAACCTTCAAAATTGTTAGACCTTCCTTACAAAGAAATGACCAGTGAGAGACTTATTAGCTTAAGGATAAGTAGGTTCAAGATGAATATTCTCTTACACACATCAGTCAGATATGAGGAGTTTACTAGAACAGCACCGTAGTTGAGACAAATGAGCTTTGCCATTTCTGATACTAACTTTCTTGCATTTCAGTTTTCACAGTACAACACAGGCAAGTAGGCATTTGCCAAGTATCCCTCAGAGTCCTTATAATAAAATAATTTCTCTTTTTTAATTGAAAAAAAATATTACCTGTGGAATGAGGAGAGCTCTCTGATAATGTGGGAGAAAACAAATGGACCTGTATGAATTATTTGTGCTCCTTAATTTATATGATCATTTCCTGATATCCAAATTCATCATTGTTTTCAGAGAGCAGTGTAGTTGCTGACTGTTTGGTAAGATCTGCTCTTCCTCAATTATAATACTCCGAAATGTTTTCTGGATAGCAGCTTCAAATCAGGATGTAGAGCTGCTGGGATCTTACAGTGGAGAAGAAAGAACTAATAAAATACTAACCTCACCATCTACTTTTTCTTCTGGAATTCTTAGAATTGAAAACTGTTCTGTAAATGAACATTTACAAATACTGTGTTTTTGGAAGCTGAAATATTAATGTGGCTTGTAATGATGTTAGATTACTTTAAAATTGTAAGATAAACTTTTTGGGAAGAGTACTAATAATGATAAGGAAACCCTTTCAGGGATGGTAAAGCACCCCTGGAATCCCCACACGTGGGAGTCTGAGGCAAGGAGGGTGGATCACCGGTTTCAGGCCAGTCTGGGCTTTAGAATGGGACCCAGTTTTAAAAGAACTACAGTTAAAAAAAAAAACTTAGGCTAATCCTAGTAGATTGAGTTCAGTGAAGTTACAAAATAGTATTTATTCCTCATCGTGTTCTTAAAATTGACACCGTGGCTGATATTTAGAAGTCATATTGAGTAAATTTTGATTGAAATGATTTTATCTTTTCAGAGCACTGCCATTATTCAAAATGTGTGTTGTCAGCAATAAGTGTGCTTTTGGTTAATAAGAAAATGGATGTGACACATTAAACATAGCTCATCTGCAAAGTGAGTTTTTTTCATAATTCTGCCTTTCTAAATCCTAAGCATTCAAAACTGACAAATTTTTGATTTGCCAAAAATTGTTCTATCCCATTTTATCTATACCATTATAGTCTCATTTTAAATGTTATATGTAAATCAGTAACATGTTTACTGATTTTTAATTAACAATGTATCTTTTAAACTGCAGCAGTTCTACATGTTATGACTCGTAGATTCAGTTAGAGAGTTAACAACACTGTCTCCTGTTGTTTCATAATGCAGATATAAAAGCACAACACTAGTCTTAAAGGAGGAAAATAAAGCAATGTATAGGAACATTCTTGTAGTTGGCAAAATGTATTCCTGTGAGATATTTTGGACACATACATTAAATTTGACCGTTCTATTGCCATATTTTTACTTTTTATTCAGTATATGTTTTGACAAATGTGGAGCATAAAATACATTTTCTGGTTTTTTTCAGAAGATGAAAACCAATTGAATAGTATTTCAAAACTCTACCACGCCTGTATATCTGGCTTACATTTTTACAGGTAGCTGGAGGGCATTTAACCCTGACATTTCATTTATCCAGAAAATCATCATGATACATTGACCAGCACTACATAGAATGCCCGTTTTTCTTTTCAAAAGTGCAATCTGATTAGTCATTTTGTCCACCCAAGACCACTGCTGGGGAAGGCTCACATGTCAAGTGGGAGGCAGCTATGATACAGCAACCTTTCAGAGTGGTATAGTTAAATTCTAACAGCAGTTGCAGCTAGGTTGCTTACTGGTCCTGTTGGCTCAGATTTGTCACTAACAGAGGGATTAAGAAGGGTCTTCTGAATGGACTGTACATTCCGTCGATGTCCTCTGGCTGTAGGACATCTGCGGAAGATGTAGATGCATATGGTCAGACAGGACAGTGAGGTTTTCAGGGATGGGCATGGTGCCTCATTTCCATTCTGGTATCAGAATCAGTCTGAGAATGGATAGAAAGAATGTCAGAAGTCCAAATTATCTCAAAACAAAAGCTACAGCGCTGGTAGAGAAGTCTGGATATGGTAGAGAAGTCTGGGCACAGCAGACTTTCACTATTTACATAGAAATATTTATAGTTAATTGCTCACTTTCCCTTCTCCTCCTGAGTCTTAAAATCTGCCTGTGTGTTTTCATCTCTGTCCGTAGTGGAGCAGTCCCATTCTGAATGGTAGCATCCAGTCCTCACCTTTGGGCCAAGCCTTCCATATTAATAATTGAGGTATTAGAAGAGATCATTACACTAACAGATTTTACACATTGAAAAACAGAATGACAGAAATTCATCTACCAGAAGTACAGTTCATATTCTCATATCTGAGGAAAGTTAAGTGATATGTAACTTATTTTTAATTTTTAAAAATTGCATTAATTATGCTCATTTGGGCTGCACGTATACTAAGATCAGAATGATACAGAAAAGATAATCATGGTCCCTGTGCAGGATGACATGCAGATTCATGAAGTGTTCCATTTTAATTGCATTAGTTGAGACTGGAGTGGTGGCTTAAGCCTGTAATCCTAGTTCTTGGGAGCTGGAGATCAGGGAATCAAGGTTCAGGACTTGCTGGGACTCAATCTCATGCAGTATCTGGGCATGGTGGCACATTCTTGTCATCCTCAGTGACCTGAGACAGCACCGTGAGAGGATTGTTCCCCAGCCGAGGCATAAAATGACACTTACCCTCAAAACTTACCAAAGTAAAAAGGGCTGGAGGCATGACTCAAGCAAGCAGTCTCCTTGCTTGATATTATTACGCCAATTTTAATGAATTTTAATTCTCTTCTCACTTTCATGGACTAAAGTAATCCAAACTCTTCAGCCTATAATTTCAACACTGTAATCTGGACCCCAAAATTCTGCTATGTGTTTAACTTGAGTAAGCAGTATAATGTGAAAATCTGATTGGATTATATAAAGAAGGAATCTATTAAGTAGTCTGATTTATCCATTCCATAATATATGAATATTTTAAAATATCATTTAATACCATAAATAATAGAGTTTGGGTTTTTTTTGGTCCAGTCGTGGGGCCTGAACTCTGGGCCTGGGCGCTGTCCCTCAGCTCTTCAGCTCAAGGCTAGCACTCTACCACTTGAGCCACAGCGCCACTTCCAGCTTTTTTCTTTTTGCTTATGTGGTGCTGAGGAATCAAACTCAGGGCCTCATGCATGCAAGGCAAGTGCTCTACCACTGAGCCACCTTCCCAGCCCCCAATAATAGAGGTTTTTTTTGTATTACTGAGGTTTGAATTCAGTGCCTTCAGTTACTAAGCACTATAACACCAAATTATACTTGACATGTGCCAACAGGTCAGACCATAAAAGGAGTTTTGTACTGAGGTTTGCACACAAAAATTAGTCACCCAGGACAGGTTAAGAAATTTTACCAATTAAAATCTTTAGTGATTCCTAGTATTTCTAAACTGGCAGGATATGTGTTTTCTTTTTAATTAAAAAGACAGAGTCATTTGTATGACACACTTTAGAACATCCTACAATGTGGTCCCTGACTTTGGATGACTATTTGCAGATTTAATTTAGATTATTGCCATTTTACAAATGGAAGGAAAGCAAACAGCTAACAGGACGAGTCAAGGGATTTGAGCTGATTGGGACTAGTAACTCAGCAGCAGAATTGAGCTCAGGTTTTCTGTTGTGAACTCTAGGAATTTAATGAATGGAACACTGAAGTTTTTTGGCCCAAAGTTTCAGACCAGAACTGTGTTATTGAATTTGGCGTCAAATAAAATTCATGCCAATCAAGTAGGAACTACTAGTTACTCAAAAATAACATTGGGGCATAATTTCCTCTGACTTTGATGTTGCTCCTGATTCCATATCTGATGTTTGGATAATGATAAAATATTGAAGTGCAAATCTATGTAGAAGAATAATCATTATGTGTGGGAACAGAATGAATACTGAGAAGGAATTGTAAGCATAGTCTGCGGCTATAAAGCCACCCATTATAATCTCTCCAATAGTTCTGTGACCATTATGTCGTGCTAATTATCAAGCATTACTTAACTCAGCTTGGAGATTTTAAAGGGATCAGAGGAAACCAAGAGTCATTTGTGAAGTGATACTAGAAGACACCCTTCAGCAATTACTATTTTAAATTACCTTCATCTGAAGAAATCCCTTTTCTCAAATAGAAAAGTTTCAAATAATCCACCCTAGGTAGAAGGTTTCCATGGCCTTCTACATCCATGGCTCTGATGGAAAGTTCAAATTCTCACCATGGAGCCATAGGGAAAACTCAGACAATGTGCTCATCTTTGAAATGATGACAGACTTCAGGTATCAAGACCTAGGGTGAACATTCACTAAAACCAAACAATTTTCTCATAAGAAAAATCCAAAGAACAGAAAGGATCTAGAAGTGGAACACAAAATAGACAATATGAAATAACATGGCAATAGAACATAGGAAGGAGTGTCTCTATGAATTTTCAACTGTGTAGTATTTAAGAATTTTGAAAGTCGGGTGCAAATGTATGCATTATGTAAGTACAGTCATCTCCCTTTTCTTGGGCTTTTCTGGCAGTGTGGGGATTCCAGCCAGTGATCATTAATGAGTGTGGATTAACAACAGAGACCTCAAAAGTTCAGTTACAGAACATGAATAGCTAATGATCACATGAGAAAGCAGGGCATGCATACAAACAAAATTCCATTTAATCAGAAAAATACGTTCTTTGAGTAATACATGGCTACGTCCTGCATAGCGTTGTTGGGATGTTGCAAAGTTTCTAATGCTCTATGCACACACGTGGCATTACTTCCTTTCCTTTCCTGATCTCTCATTTTTTTCTTTTTAAATTTTGCTTCTGGACAAGAATACTTAGATTTGAAGAACTGGGAACAATGATTAGAACAGAAATGGAGAACATTCTGCCCATAGCAGCTGTATAGTGCTCTCAAAATTATTTGGTCTGCTCTATTAAGATGGTGGACTCAATATTCAGTACATCTAGGGTCCTTCTTCATAGCAACATAAATTTATTTTAAGTGTATTGTACTAATAAGATAAATTTGAGGGACTGCTAAGGAGTATCTACCACTGGGTAGTAGAAGACATACCTGTACATGATAGGGCAGACAAATTTGCTTGGTGTTGGCTGTTCAAGGCTCATCTGCCTGTATTGTGGTGATTCAGAGGACAGTCAGTGCCAGGCCCGCAGGGATTGTACTCATTGCAAAAGTGTGAACACACTGGTGGAACTAGTGATCCCATGATGGTGAGGTAAGATGAGATGATTCCTTGTACTGTTAATGACCTTGCCTCTGATTATTGATGATGATGTTTTCAACTTCTTTGTCAACACAAACAATAACTGCAGTCCAACCGTATCCACACTTTCATGATCAACAAGCCCCTCCAAAACTGAATCTGAAGAAGATTAAAGAAATCACAGTTCACAGAGAAGACCTCGGAGGTTGATGATATAAATGTTGGGTATGTTCCAAATTCAAGATGTAGGATTAGAACAGCGATCAAAGCAAAAAAAATCATGCAGCTGGCAACATACACAGAATGGTTATTAAAACATAAGTTATGTGACATCCTACAAATGGTGACCACAAAGAAAAATTATTCAAAGTGGCTGCATGGTCAAGCATTCATGGTGATTTTTCCCAAGTACCTCTCAGAGCTGGGCTCCAAGCAGCTTCTCGGCATTCTGCTTTCAAATGTGAAATCATATAAAGCATTAAGGCTGTGGAAAGTAAGACTCTAAAGGAACAGCCGAGTCTCTTTCTCCACTCTGGAAGGACAAAGACTTAAGACATTCAAATGTGTTGGTGAATGTATGAGACTTAACTGAGAAATTTAATGAACGATTCAAAGGTGTGCAAGTAAAATGTGGAATTGAACAACTTTGCTACACCATTCAATGTAAAACCAGCTGACATGCCTAATAACTTACAGTATGAAGTCAGTCAGCTACAGACCAGTGATGAGCTAGGTACAGCAGCCTCTCATGACTTGAGTTCTTTAAGTCTGACATATGACATGATAGATTACCTACTTTGCAATATACATCTGTGTTCTGAGCAACTACTACTATGAGTAGCTCCCTTAAAAACTTACCATTGCAAAGATTTAACTGCATTTCAGAATGTGGAATAGTGGTTGGAAGTAGGAACATCATCAATACCAGCTAACATCACACATCTCACCGAAAGGAAGCAGTTTCAGCCATCAGTTAATTAAATGTTAGATGAAATATAGTAAGCTAACTTTCTTTTGGGTTTTCTTCCTTTAAAAAAAAATAACCTTTATTTAACATGTGCATTGCAAAAAACATATATAACAAAGAACAGAGTATTACTGCCATGTGCAGTTCAGTTGGATTTGACTGTCTAGATCCTCCGTGGACACACTGATTACTAAACAGGATAATTTTTAAATGGATAATTTTCTGTGGTACTCAAGTAATGTTATAAATATACAAATGGCCATTAGCAGAAAAAGGGTTCCCAACTCCTGATATAGAATAGCAACAGATGAATAATTGGATTGCCTTGGGGCTTTTTAATGGGATAGGGCCAAAAATACACCATGAATAACCAAGTGTTCCTTTTATGCCAATTAAAGTTCCTTTTATTCCAAGTAGGGTAATAACTCTGGATCTGAATCAGGTGTTTTGTTTTTTTAACCATCCTGTGACAGTGGAGACTTGCTGCTTTCCTTCAGAAAGCACATGTTCACTGACACCATTGCTCTTTTTATTTTTATTGTGAAAATACCGTACAGAGGGGTTACAATTACATGGGCAAGATAATGAGTGCATTTCTTATCAAGCATTGTTGCCTCCTCCTTTGTCTCCCCTTCCCATCCCTTTCCACACACCCCCGCCCCCCCCACCCAATCCTCCCCCCACCACCATTGCTCTTTAAGATAGCCTCTTTCTCATCATTTGCTAAAATAAAAAAGGCAGGCATCTCCCACAAGACTTGTTGAGATGACAGATGCTTCTTGCATGAAAGCCTTGGGTTCACCACCTTTCTAGAAATTTCCTTTCCAACACAAGCTGGGATTGCACAAACAGTTCAGCAAATGGACACTGACTGGATCAGCTGTTCTTTCTGTAGCGCGGTGAGGCTCTTCACCTTGTCCGATGCCTTGTACAGTATATCTGTGCAGGTGCTACAGGTGGCAAGCTATTAGGCTTTCATTTATCTTGGCAGTTCATTTAAGACAGTCAAACATTTCAGAGCTGGAAAGGGTTGTATTCTTAAATGGCAGTATTCTCCAGAAGTTGAAAATCTTCTGGAGAGAAGCAGACACCTGGAAGCAGTGAAGTGGCTTATGTGGCTTATGCATAATGTCTCCATGGTTTCTGAACTCTTTCTGCATCAGGCACATCAACCAGTTAGTCCTCCGTACGTTTTGATATCATGCATTTCTAATGCCTACGGCCTTGCTGCTGTGCTGCTGACCTTGATTTGAATCTGCCAGTTGGCTCCAGTCTA